ATAAAGAAACAAATCCCCAAATCTAAATAGTATTGGGTTTGATCTTTCTTGTTTTATGTCATCTGCTAGATTTTGAGAACTTCAGGAGAGTCAGAGAAAGAGTATAATGTTAGGTACCAAAATAGTAGGTTACATTTATGATGATGTTAAAGATTGGGCAATCATACTTTAAAATAGTAAGTTTATAGTTTTTTTTGCTAATAATCATTTTATCTGTTGTGTATTTGGTGAGGCTTTTATAGTGAATATTCTTTTAAGCCTGGCTGAAATTAAATATAAGAGAAGTCCTAATTGGAGCTTTCTTGACTAAATATAAATATTTCAGGAGGAATGAGGTAGAAGGGATTCATAAAACTTAGCTAGTTAGACACCCAGCTGCATATATTTATTTATAGCCTTCTATGTTGCTCATTTATGTTCTTACAGTATAAAACTGTCTTTGAAAATTAAAATTAAAAGACTATACACCTATAATAGGAGCCTATTTTAAAAATAATGGAGTAAATTATGAAAAACAAATGAGCTTTATTTGGTACCTTTTGAACATTATTGAATTCTAGAGTTGAAAATACTTGTTTAAGCTAATATTTGTAGCTATGGTAATTTTACTGGTCCAGGAGCTATGCCAACTCTAAGTAAAATACGTTCTAATTAGTGTAGGCTTGGTGTTTTTGTTTAATGGACACCAATTTTATTCATGATATTCAAGACATGCTTAGTACCAGTGAAACAGCATGAAAAGTATGCTCTTTATTGTTTTTAAAAACTACCCAATTAGGGATATGGAAGTAAATCTTTAATGAGATAGCTCCTCTGACACTAAAAGAGCTGACTATGTCCTACCTGCTCTTGGCAAAACCAAAATTAGATTGTTGGATGATTGAATAACTTGGTCATGAAAAAGTTTATTCTCTAACTCGAAGTTGGCAAACTGTGATCCGTGGACCAAACCCTGACTGTTTTTGTAAATAAAGTTTTATTGGAACAAAGCCATGCTCATTCATGGACATATTGTCTGTGCTTTTGTGCTACAGTGGTAGTGTTGAGTAGTTATGGATCATATGATTCACAGTGCCGAAAATAGTACTGTTTGGCCCTTTAGGGAAAAGTGTGCTGACCCCTGCTCTAGATCTAAGTTTTTTGCCGTCAGATCATGTTAAAGTTCTGGTGGAGGTTTATGAAGTTAGTATTTTTGTGTTTAATTTCTCATTCTGCTTCATTCTAAGAAACAATGCATTTTAAGATAGAATACTTAAATATTTATATATAAATATGTAATATATTTAATTATTTAATATATTATTTAATATAATACTATTACTAGTATTATAAATGCTATTACTAAAATTACTACTAATAATAATTATTTATTATTATTATTATCATTATTATTTGGAACCTGTACTCAGGTTGCAACGGGCTTCTGTATATACTACTAACAATTTAATATTAAGACAGTGTG